GGTTTTTCAACAAAGTTCCTTATTGTGGGTCATCTAATCTCAGGAAAACAAAGACATTTGAGTTCTTTAGCCTTTGACTGAAGAGCAATTATACAATTAGTTTCATATTCAGATATACTAGAAAATATTGGTGGAAAAGCCCCAGGTATTTGTTTCTGTCAGTGAAGTAACACTTGCATGGCTTTGAAATTAATTGTTTAGTATGCTCATTACTCTTAAAAAAATAAATATGTTCTCATTATGTTCACTTGGTGAGCATATGTATCTTGCAATACATTTAATGTTACTTGCTGTGAGGGAGATTACAACTCTTTTTAAGGAAATTGAGTAGATTAATGGAATGGGGTGGGTTAAATTGCTCTCCACATGCATTCCCTAGCATGCCTGGCCTACTCCCGTATTTTAATTGATGTATATAAAAGTGTTGAGCTGAGTTCTGTCCTGTGAAGCAACAGGATTAAATAAGGATATCAGCTGTGTATTGCAGGGGCTGGGCTAAGGGAAATGAGCTGTGTGCTAAAACAAGGAGACTGATACGTGGGACCTTGTTTTGTGCCCGGTCACAGTCTGCATGGGAACTCTTGCATTTTCCACATCTTCACTGTGACAGTACATGTACTGATCTGTGGTGAACTTCAGGAGGAGTTTTGGGGCTGTTAATGGGAACCATTCCCAACAAGCTACAGGATGTCCACAGAATCCTTGAAACAAGCAAATATTTACTTCATCTTTTAAAGAATTTCACTGAGTTTTAATATCACAATCTGTGACAGAACCTGACAGTACATTTTTTTGATCTTTATTCTTACTTTGAATTAGCAGTAACAAATATGAAGATTATTAAGCACTAAATACTCCTGGTGCGACTCATTGGTTTCAGTAGGAGGCTCTCCAGAAGAAGAGTGATCTTTAACTGTTGAATTTTTCCAAATTTATTGTTTTGAATGAGAGACAGAGTCCACATAAGCAGGACATCTTGCTAAGGTTGTTACTTTTGGGGAGAAAAATATAAAGCCAAAGATTTCACACCACAGTGCTTTAAAGAAAAGCTTTCAACATTTGAATTAATGTCATATAATTTACAAAGACAGTCCTAGACTTGCAGGACTTTTTGATGACTGTCTTAAAGTTACTGCCGTCCCACATCCCACGTGTGTTCTGAATTGTACTTTTTTTCTTAATAACATCTCCTCTCTGCCTGCCCCCCAGTCTCCACTGGCTTTGGAGCATTCCCAGTGAGCAAAGTGCTTCCATAATTTTATATTTTATTTTGCAGAATATGCATTTAATTAGGAATCACATTTAATTGAAATAGCTGTTTCTGATTTCAGGAAAAGAGTGGCTTTATGAGATGAGAATGAAAAGTGTGTGACACTTTTATTGAAATTTAAAGCAAAAAGTGTTTAGAAATTTATGTTGCATCACTGCAGAGCATGTGCCAAACCTGTCTTGATTTACCTGAAAGTGCTCTATCAGGGACAGGACTCCCAGCTGGAGAGTGTATCCTATCCTGGATGACTGCTTTGAAATCACTTACTTGGAGTAATATTAATTCAAATTCCTGGTAAATTACTCAGTGTGATATAACATGCTGTTTTAAAACTTTTACAGCCTTTTCATTAATAGATGATAGTGAAAATTAGAGCTAGTATTTTTTGTGTAGACTTTTTAATCATGCCATTTAAAGTAGAGGCTAAGCAATAAACACCTGATGAATGGCTTATGGTAAGTTTAATCTCAGAAGCTGTGTTGCTGTTGGCACAGATCAACATAACCATCTATCAATAAATTCTCAAAATTTAAAAACTGTAGCTATGACTTATACATGCTAGTCATTCTCAATGTACATTACATAAGAGTAGTTTATTGCATTTTAGGATACTTCCAACCAAAATCGATATCTATTAGACATAACAAATATGTTCCTTTCTAGAAGAGGATGTATTCTGAAATTGAACCATTCTTCTATATTTTGTATCTTTTAGTAATTGTTGTGTTTTAAAAACCTGAAAAAAATAATTGTCATCGGTAATTATTAAAGCAATTCCTTAAGGTAATTATAGTTGAGCAAGTCATCTGCATATATTTGAGTTGCATTCCAGAGAGATGGGCTCCTTGGCTTTTATCCCATCAGTGAAATCTTCAAATTAATCTGTGGAAATAGTGAAGGAAAGTACAATACTTTGGTGGTGCCCATAATCATCAGTGCTGTGCAGACTGTTCATGTTGTGCTTCTGTGCCACGAGTCACAAACTCAGCATGGGCTCAGTTCACTTCTGTGTCCTTACTCATAGCCCCATGTCTGTCTTCATCAACAGAGTACCACAATGGATTTCTAGTGAAGTACAGTATCCTTATATTCTGATTTGCAGCCATTAATGATAATGGATTTATATATACTAATAATGAAATAAATTGACCCAGTTATGGAAAAGTGTAAAGAAAAAATTTATAGGTTCTGCATTACTGTACAAATAGCATCTTGTTGTGAAATCCAGAGTTCATAGTACTTTGGAAAGGGATGCATTATGCACCTGCATTCTCTGTTGGGGAGCTTGAGTCTTGCCCTTTCAACATCTGGAGAGATCATCTGTCAAGAATGAGAGTTTTTGTGGCAGAATAAGCACAGGATTCAGAGAAGCAAGATTTCAGATGCCAAAATAATTCTCCTCACCAATGAACTCTTCCCCTGCTCAGATGGCCAGTGTGTTTGAGAGACTGGAGGTATTTTATTTTTGTTTAGTTGTGTGTATTCATTGTTATTTGCAATACATACTCTAGGACTTTCTTCTTTAGTTTTGCACTTACTGACTGACCCATCTGAATTTATTTGTTAAATTTACTAAATGTCTGACTAGCCATAAGCTGTGGAAAGCTGACCAGGGAATTGAAATGAATAGGAAGAAAACACCCTCACTAATTTAACTTCAGACACTTCAATTGACCCAAGAGCATTTACATTATTTTCCCATTTAAGCAGTTAACTTCTGAGTTGTTCTTAAACACTAGGGAGCTCTAGCTAGAGCAGCCAGTTTGGTCAGCAATCCAGGATTTAGGCAGGTAGTCTATTATTTATGTAGTGGAAATATAAGCGATTTTATATTGTATATGTGATTTAGTATTTTAGTATTTTCTGTGCCAGTTTTATTTCAGATTTAATTCTGGGACATGCTGTGCTACGTAGTCCTTTTGGATTTCTGCAACTGTTGCTCTTGGAGCCATGCTCCTGCTGCAGAATTCCAACAGGAGCAAACATATGGGGATTCTTCCGTCCTTGGCTTGCCCCACCATTTGTTCCATGTTTTAAACCAACTGGTGCTGTACCCAGTGGAGTACATCTGTTACAGTTTATTGCTAGAAATTTGCAATTCATTTCAGTTTGCTAAAATAATATTCATGGCCAAGCATTAAGCAATTACAAAACAGAGTAGACAAAATCTTGCTGCAATTTTTATGTGATGCAGAATCTACTGCCCAGCTTGGGCAATTTGGGCACTCAGCAGTCAGATACTGTTCTGACAGTTGAGTTTGATTATCCTGAGAAAATCAAGGCTATCGTGAGACCTCCCTTATGTGGATGTCCCTGCTCTGTTTTAATTAAGGGCAAAATAAATTGGCAAAAATAACAACTGAATGCATTTGGTTGTTACATCTTGCCTGAGGTACTCATCTGGGGAACACCCTGAACTGGAGCAGAGTCTTTGCTGCTGGAATTACAGGGGCACATTCAATAACAACCTGTAACTCTTGCAGAAAGTAAACTGCATGTAGGTTGCTAAATAGTCTATATGTTTTTTGAATGTTGTACCTCACTTTGTCTCTGTGCTTCAGGCAAGCTGGGAGTTACTGTGTTGGGCTATGTTGTTGTTTGCAGAGGTGAGGTTTCTGGTTTGAAGGAAAATTGGATTACCAATCATTCCTTTCTGAGTAAAACATTAAGTAGTTGAATAGAAAGTGACTCCTTCACATTTAAAATAAAAAGTCCCCATAATCAGCGCAATAATACAAGAGATGACTGTTTCATCATTATCACCCTCTGAAGCAGATATTTAAAATTACAAAGAATCACAATATAATATTCATAACCCCATCACACTCATCATATTTCTCTAAGTCAGTCTTGCACATCTTTGACATATAGTAACAGAATAAACACACTCTGCTCACCACAGTGGAGACATGTACTGCTAAAGCCAAGGCTTTTTTATAGGTAAACTTGCAAACTAATTCCAGAAGTTACAACCAACAATGTGCCTGTTTTTGTTCTCCATCACATACCTGAGTCTGGATCTGTCTTTTGGATGCCTTTCACACTCATCCCTTGAAATATACGAGGTTGCTTTTGCCATAGAAGTTGGTTACTTGCCTGATTTGTAAAAGAGTTTTGGTTCCAAAAATTAGATTTAATTTGTTGAGTTACACTAGGATAGCGCAAGGCATTGCAAACTTCATTCTGCCTATGCTGTCAGACCACCACTATGACTTAAAAGTATGGCTACATTCCTGAGATTTATTTGTGTCCTGGTAAATAAAAGCATTTTAAGAAAAATACAGCTCACTAGGCTTAGAAGGAGATTGTTTTGATGGGGAAATTGGAGTTTATACTGAAATGATGAAACATTCAGAAATAACCCAGATCTTTTAAAATGTTTTTGCTTGTTTTGCTTCAGAAGTGTTACTTGAAGTGATACAATGAACCAGAATTATGTGTTTCTATATGCTGTACATAAAAAATATCTGTGAATGGAAGCCATTATTAAAGCTACTAAATATAATTCTGTTTTCTAGTAATCCTAGAAATGTCTTTAAATATTCATCATCTAAGTGGCATGGACAATACAATCTAAACAAATTAGTATGGAGTTGGGCTATAATGTGGAATGATTGCATTTGGTTTTACAGAGCGCTGTAAATAAGCGTGTAAAGTGTGATCTAAGAAGCTTTGAACCTCTATGGAAATTTTAATCTATATTGTAATGTCTTTTGTTCTTTTTCCACAGAACATTCTGGCTTTAAATCCCCGAAAACAAACACATGCAACTCTTCACTCAACTGCAGCAAAGAAACTAGTCAAGAAGCAATGGAAACGGAATTCTGACAAAAACTGTTCAGTAAGTGCACGTTTATCACTGCATCTGGAACATGTTTATCATCGCATCTGGAACAATCATTGAGGCTGAAATCACAGCTGTGGGAGAAATAAATTAGTGTTATTCAGTGGCTTCTAGTTTGTTCCTGTAGATACAAAGTTACTTTGTGATGAGCTGTTTACTTTTCAGGACCTATTGCATACTTTTTGATTTTTGGTGATTTTAGTAAGTGTTTGATACAGCTTTTGTGCCTTTTGTTATGGAGTCTGATCCCTCTCAAGTATCACCATGCTGAGCCCCTTGATTTCCCTGGGTATCCTCTTCTGCCACTTCCTTCTTCTCTTTCTGTTTTCCAAGAGTCACAGTGGGCTGAGTAGCTCTTCACTATCCTTTCTGAGACTTTTAAAGATGATTTTATTTTGCTACAGAAATAGGGGAGCCTGTCATATGTACCTATTTTTTATATAAATAAATATATAAAGCTTATATTAAAACGTGACTCTGGATTTTAAATTTTGTGCACTGTATTTTTCAGGAAATAGTTGATTTTGGAATAAATATTTTTCTTGCTGTAAACTGTCTATATTCTTCTGTATTTCTGCCATTATATATCAGCATTTTCTCTCTAGGTATTTGAATTCCTAGTCTCAGTGTGATATTTGACTAATCCTATCAGACTTTTTTTGTCTCTTTGATCTCTCATCTGATTAGAAGGTTTGTACTGTTTTTACTGTCTTCCTACAGGTTGTCTTACATAATCCTCTAAATTCAGAAACCTTTTAGGTAGAGTACTAGTTTCCTTATGGGCATAATCATATTAGTGTCTTTTCATAGTGTTGTCAAAACACCTTCTCACACTAAAAAGGAAAATTCAGGTAGGAAGTTAATTTTCTTTGTAATTAAAATATGCTATCCAAAACCTGAGAATACACAAACCCAACCAAAAATGACAAAAAGTTCCTCAGTTTCTTAAAATCTTGAAATGTTTGTGAACTTGGATGATTATTTTGGGATGTCTGATGCAGATATTGCCCGCAACTATCTGTTCCTGCTGCAGATAATGCTGGGCTGCTTAGCAAGTAGGCAGCTGCAGTTTACACTTTCATGTTTTCAGGTGACTTGAAATCAATACCAGGCTGTAAACTCCTCTGTTTTCAGAAGGTGTTTGTTAGGAAGCTCAGGTATCCGTGCAGCAGGGCAGATGGGTATCTGTGTAGTAACCTAATTAGCTGTTCCAATATAAATTATTCTGGTTAGTTAAACTGTAACATTCACAGAAATATTTTACTAGTGGGTGCATTAACACATATTTCCTGAAGTGTCTAGGCTTTTAGATCACTTTGTTATCCTTGAGCTGTTCTCCATGTCAGCCTTGCTTGATTTTTTTTCATTCAGTTGACTCATAAAGTGTTTGATATTTACTGTTGATTTTGAAAGTGCATTGTTTTCTAGAAATTGTCTCTCCATGTTCCTGCTGTTAGCTGTGTATACACCTCATGGTGTCTCAAATATTTCTGGATTCCCAAGGTCTGAGCTTCTTGACTTGTGCAAACACTTTGGATTGGGGTTTATTGCCAGTTTGTGGGCCTTGTCTGGATTTTCAGTTGAAAGAAATTCTGAACGTTGTCAAATATTGTAGGATGAGTTTTGGCATAGGCTTGCAGTCTAATAAACAACTTGGTTTTATAGTTCTGCAGTACTACCTGGAGATCTGTGCAGTTATTAGCACCCTGTCCTGACAGGAATCTGCTTATGGGGTGCAGTTTACAGAATTAAAAGTTAGAAAGAAACAAATGTGTAGATGGGCAGATATAACTACTTTCATTGTGAATAGTTTTAATACTGCCTTATTATGTATTATTTAGTAGAAACATCATATTTGGTTTGCAAACTATTATAGGAAATGTAAAGTGCTAGAAGGACCTGTAAAGGGATAGTCCTTATTTTTAGATGGGCAATGATCCTGGTTTTTAAAACTGACAAACTTTTCTTTGCTCAGAGATATGTAGCTTACTCTTACGGTGTAAGATTTACCACATAGATTTCTATTAGCTTACTACAGGAAAAAACGTCCTGAAAAATGAAAAATATCAAATATTTTTTGGTCTCCCATTGCATAAAAGACATCAGTAAAAACTAAGAGACCTTTTACATTCTCCAAATCATTGTTTTTGAGTGGTTTTAATAAAAAAATAAAATGGTTGAATCCTTTCATTTCCTTCCTAAATTAAGAAAGCTAATTTAGGAAAGGATTCATTGAGCAGTTTTCTGTTTTGGTCTGAAGAGCCACTGGCGATAATGCGTAGGCCTGCTAATGAATAGATCAGCCTCCATTTGAGGTCCATATGAACTTTATTTGTTTCTATTTCCTTAAAATCTGAATTTGACTTTTAACTTCGGATTCTTTTAAAGCTGTTCTGATGCTGCCTTCGCAGAACTACTGTTGAAAGGAAGGTGGGAGTATGAAAATACAAAACTAATTAAATTAACAGCCCTCAAAACTCTGAACAAAGGCTGCATCTGCTGAGGCATGCACACAGTGACTTTGTAATGTCTAATACACTTCCAGATGGCAGACTTACATATTTCTTCAGAATAATTAAACAAGTGAAATTTTAACTCCTAGCCTGCTCTGAGACACTTTGAGTTACCATTTAATGAGTTCTGAAGTGGGAATGGAATGTCAATATCTTTACTCAGCATTGGATAGGTATTCTCAGAGAGGAAGGTTCAGTTATGCTTTCAACGGGTATTATTGTTTATTTACTATGTTAGCAACCAAGTGTTGCTGTAAAAATTATTTATAGCTTTAGGTGTAAGATTAGTCAGCTTTCCTTCAGAAATTTTAACTCAGATTTGTATCAGAGTAGGAAAACTTTGTGTCACCCTCAGTAACAGTGTTAGAACTAAGCATTAACACTCTTATTTCTTATGAGTCATGCTGAAAAGGGGTATAAATAGATGCCTCTAGTTAATTTGTCTAAAAGATTTCTGTTGTCCAGAAAAAAATCAAAGTAGAATTGTTTTGAAATGGCTGTTCTAATAGTAAGCATTAAAGAAGGGTGCAAAATTTAGGTCACGTTAGATCATCAATTTACAGATAGAACAAAAGCAAAGGGATCAACTGTGAAACTGTGAGAATTTGCTTTGATTTCAGGTTTTTTCTAAGTAGTTCAGGATTGTTTAGACTTTGGATTAATATTTTTATTTATTGTTTCCAGCTCTTTATAATTCCATTTTTGTATGTATTTTGTGCTTACCTACATTGAGGTTGCCAACTAGGGAGGTAACATTGTGTGCATTTGCATTGCACCCAGCACACTGTTTCCTTGCTTTATGAATAGGGTTTCTAAGCATTATGGGACAAATTTTGTTTTACCTTGTACATGTGCAGGTTTGTAATTTAAATGAAATTCACCTCCACAAGTTTTATAAATTGATTTTCACTGGAGAATTCAGTGGGATATTTTAGTCCGCCCTTCTTTTTGGTAATGAAATCTTGTAGCTACCTACTAAGGATAGGTGAGAAATTTATATAGATCCACCTATGTATTCAGCCTTGCTTCAATTTCTGCATTTAGAAATAATTGTAACATTTGCTCCAGATGGAAATGCTGGAAATATTTCAACACGACAAGAAGGTGAAAAGGAAATGGGGTTTAAATTGGTTTGTAGCTAATTGCCATAGCCTGTAACAGTATTGATTTTCTGGCAGTAGTAGCATTGTTCTTTGTCCTTACATATGCTAAGCCTGATCAGCATTGTGGAAAAAGAGCCTCTCTTCCATGAACAGAATAATTTTGATACTCACCTCTTTTTGGTTTTGGTGTTTCTTTTTTTAATTTTTTTTTTCCTTGTTTTTTTTTTTTTTTTTTCTTTTTGGCAAGTGCTCACTTGGCGAAAGAGACTTTAACTGTACTCTATTTTTTTCCAGCAATTAGAGAAAACCAAATAACCAAATTCTTCACCTTGTGTTTTTCTGTGCAACATTAAGTTGCAACTGCCAGATTACTTTGTGTTAATGATGGAGCTTGAGATCTGCAATTCATTGCAAGATGTAACAGCTCATGTTGCGCTTTATGTTTAGGGTCAAGAGTACTCCCTTAAAACAGTAGTAATAAGAGCTTGCTAAAACGTCTAAGTGCTTTTCCCTTGGATGGTATTTCTGTGTCTGTCATTGCTATATATAAACATCTGTATAAAGAAATTTTTTAGAAAAAGGTATGTAAGTACCTCTTGATGTACAAATGTCCAGGCTTGCATAGAAAAATCTGTAAACAAGATGATCTTTCTCAGCTATAATCAGCTGTTACTCTAAGTGTTGTGAGGTGGAAAAAGTTCACGTGATTTTTGTGCCTAATCATCTATCATGCTTGCAGAATAATCAAGTTAGCATTTCACAAATAACTGATGGATTGAAGCAGAAATAGTGCAAATTGCAAACAAGTAAATAGAAAACCCAGTACACCGAAGGCCTGAAATCAGGAGCCTTAATGAATAAATGCTTTTTCAGTGAATAATTTGTCCATTTCTAGACATGTATTGATGATTCTGTATTTATAAATAAAAATAATCCCAAATATTGTAAAATAGAGAACACTCATTAAAGGAAATCAACTCAATTATATTTATAATCTAAATGTATAGTTTACCTTTGCAAATATTTATTTTTGTCTTCATTACATATGAATATGCAAGTTTAGCTCTTTTCTGAATGGGTATACAATGGCAGATGTCTCTCTAATCGCTGCTCTATTCAAACATTAATTGGTAGAACATATGTAGAATTCTACTAGTCTGAATAGGTATAGGATAGCAGCAGTCTCTTTAATCACATCACTATTCAACCACTAATTGGTGTGATGATTAAGGGACATTAGAGGGAGCACTTTGACATCTGATTCTTTGAACTGATGTCTGCTCGAGCTGCGCTGTATTCATCATGGCCAGACTGATTTCTTAAATAAAATGCTCTGATTCCCAAATGTGGAAAATATTGCGTTAGGATCTATTGAGGTGAT